TAAAGGCTACACAACAAGCAACAATGCCAGAGAAGCAATACCTTCTTTTGAGCTGCTGGCCAGGGTGGCCAAAGGGATTCCCAGAGAGTAACCCAGCATAGAACTGGGAAAATGAACAGCAGTCCCCAATCTCATCCAAAGGAGTATAGATAACTGATTACCGCTAGATGAGGAACAGCTGACCCTCCTAAAACAAAGACCTCTAGATAGGCTGACTAGATTCACCAGAAGGGCAAGTAGTGGGGAATGGCTGGGGGTGCTGACAGCACAACAGATAGTAGCAGGGTTATCAGAGTATAAGGGCTCTAATGGAGGGGAGGGAGGCTACGGGAGGGTGCTACCTGGGAAGCGGGTGTATAAATTAATAAAAAAAAATAAAGGAAAAAAAAATTCTTCAAAGCATAAAAATTTGCTCCTTAATAATTAGTAGATGTGAAAAACATTACCATTGAAATCTACCTGATGACTTTACATTCATGCTCAGGTGCCAAGGATCTTAGAAAGTAAGTGACTGTGACTAGTAATAATCAGATACATAGAGATTAGAGACGCATGTACAAACATCTAAGTGTTATTTGCATTAAAAATGAGCTTTTCTGTATGAAACAGTAGATTCTAAAATGAAATAGAGATCTTGCCTCATTTAATTTTATGTCTTATAGGGTTTATATGGAGTACAATATTGTATTACTGTATTAATTCAACTATAAACCTAAAAATTTACAGCCAATTTTGAAAGAGATGCATCTTAGCTCTGGAAATTGTTATTGAATATGTCTTTGCTGTTGTAATGAAATGCTTCCAATTATATGGTTATTAAATAATTTTTAAAAATTCATATTTTTCTATTTTCTTTTTATTCTATTTTCAAATCTCTCTACAATAAACATGATCTTTCCTAGTTATAAAAAATCCATTTTAAAAAACTGTGTGTATATAATATATACATGTATGTACATGTATACTGGTGTGTTTGCATGTGCAGTTACATGTAGAAGCCAGAGGATGACACAACAGGGTGTCTTTCCTCAATTGCTTCTCCACCATACACACAGATACATAATTATTTTTGCATCTATGGCACATACATGTACATGCATGTGTGTGTTATATGTGTGGGCATGTACATGTCACAGTGCACATGTGGAAATCAGAGGACAACCCACAGGAGTTGGTTCTCTCACTCTACCATGTGGGTCCTAGGGATAGGACTCAGGTCATCAGGCTTGGCAGCAAGTGTACTGTAACGCTGGGGTTACAGTTTCTGCCATAGTGCCTGGTTTTTATGTGGGTTCTGGGGACCTGAACTCACGTCCTTATGCTTGAACAACACTTTACTCACTGAACCACCTCTCCTTCCCAGAACACATTAATATCTTTAGAGTTACATAATCAGAATCATAAGTATAGAAGGAAAGCAACAACTAAAAGGAAATTTGGCCACATTCAAGGTTCAACATTAAAAAAAAAAAAAAGATTGAACACATGCAGTAAGGAGAATGTGGGAAATTCTAATTCTTAACACACAAATGCCATAAGGTCTGATACCGTTACTGCTAGGGAAAAGAAGTTGTGACACCAGTGGTTAGGGGCAAAGTGAAAAACGTCTGGTTGTTCCCTTAATGTGTGTAATGTATTGATTTAGATGTAATCCTTAAAAGTCAATCTCATCTTACTTAAAAACCAAACTTGCAACAGATGGAGGAGGGGAGTGATACAATGCCATGAGCATGCCCTGTCATAACCCTAGAGTATGCAGAAAGGTACCAGCACAAGATCAATGGTCACCAAATCAATGAAGACCACTGAAAACTGAGAACAGGTCCTATCAGCTAGAGATTCTAACTCTACATGGCATCCAGGAGACTGGAAAAAAAACAAAACCAAACAACAAAAAAGGGTGAAGTAACTCAGTGGTAGAGCATGTGCAAGACCCATACCTGTTCCCAAAAGAAAACCAGTACAAAACAGAACTGAATGCTAAATTGTACAGAGGAAGAACTTTCTTTTTTTTTTTTAGGGGGGGGGGGTTTCCCTGTGGCTCCAGCTGGCCTAGAACTTGTTATATAGACCAGGCTGGCCTTCACAGAGATCTGCCTGCCTCTGCCTCCCGAGTGCTAGGACTAAAGGCATGAGCTACCATGCCGGGCAGAATATTCTAACTTTAGAAATGACAGAACATTTATACATAAATCAAAACTGGAATGACATAACCTACACAAAAGTTATGCAGCCGAATGTGGTGGCACACGCCTGTAATCCCAGCACTTGGGAGGCAGAGGCAAGCGGATCTTTGTGAGTTCGAGGTCAGCCTGGTCTACATAGTGAGTTCCAGGACAGCTGGGGCTACAGGGAGACCCTGTCTCAAAAAAAGACCAAAAAAAAAAAAGTTAAGCTGCTTAAGAAATAGAGATCTTGAAGATTTATGAAAAAGAACATTGAGATTCACCAAATAAAAAGGCAGCAGTTCAAAACAGATAAAATGAAAGAAAAAGAAAGTCACAGTAAGTAAACCTACAGAATATGGAGTTAAAACTACCCTATTCTAACTGACTGGCTAAAAATAACCCTGAACAATGCTCCTGAAGAACAGTGTGGCAGTGGGCACTGAAAGGCCTAAAAGGGGGCTGGAGAGATGGTTAAGGGCACTGACTGCTCTTGTAGAAGATCCAGGTTCGATTCCTAGCATCTGCATGAAGGCTAACAACCCTCTGTAACTCCAGTTCCAGGGGATCCAACACCCTCTTCTGACCTCTGCAGGCACTGCACAATACAGGTGCACTTATACACATGCAGGCAATACACCCATACATATAAAATAATACAATATTTTTTAAAAAGGTCTAAAAATGTTGTTTTGATTCAATAAATTTCCTAGACTGTATGTCAAGGAAATTAAGTATGGAAAAAGTCTTAATACCAAACATGCTCATTAGCACTCACACAGAAAAATGAGAGTTGTTATCACTCACCTATTTACATAGGCTTCGTTAATACAGCAGATCTACATACAATGCCAATGCTAGTCTCCAAACTTTCTGTGTTAAAGTGCTTCCAAATACTACAGCTCTGGTGGTGACATTGACAGCATGTTTTGCTTAGTTCAGTGTTATACAAGGCTCTGCCTTATATACGGCAGGAGTACCAGGAGCAACACACACACATACAATCCTTTTAGTATAAGCTTAAACAAGCAAAGGATATGATCATGCTTGTGTCTATTTCTTTCCTGAAGAATATACAAGAAACAGCAATGATTATTTGTGTGTATATCTCTGGGTTTGATCTCTAGCACCATAAACAAAACAAAACTCAGCAACTCACTCACTGAATAACTATATGCACAGACATGGGAAGATGTCTACGATGAAAACAAAAGTGCACATTATGAAATTGAGTATTATAAAATTTTTGACTCAAATACACCCCTCACATTCTGTCTCATGAAAACAAAATCTGAAAGGGTTTATGGTTGATTTTCTACTATATTTCTGATTTAATTCCATACTACTTGAGTATGTGAAATATTATGAACTGTTACTTTTATGAAAAAGAACAAATTAAGAATCTTGCAGACAGACAGGCTTGGAGATATGGCTCAGTGGTTAAGAGCATTGGCTGCTCTTACAGAGGACCTGGGTTTGGTTCCCAGAACTCACATGGCAGCTAACAACCATCCTTAATTCTAGTTTCAGTGGATCCAATACCCTCTTCTGACCTCTGTAGACATTATGTGACACTGGTACAGGCAAAGCACTCATGCACATAAAACAAAAATAAAATCTATGTAGCTAAAGCTCATCTCAAACCTGAACTCCTGCTTTACTCTCTGGAATACTGGGACTACATGCCAGAACCACCACACCCAGCTTCACTAATTGTTTAAAGGCTGAGAAGAGACACAGAAGAGATAAAATAATGGACAATGGCTCTGAATGGAAGTATTTTTGGTACAGGCTTACATGGGCATGTATTCTACCTTTTCATAAGCTAAAAAACTATATTTAAGAAACAAAGTTATGGGGCTGGAGAGACAGCTCAGCTGATAAAGAGAACTTGCAGAGGACCTGGGTTTAGTTCCCAGAACTCACATGGTGGTTAACAACCATCCATAACTCCAGTTCCAGGGAATCCAATGCCCAACGCCCTCTTCTGACCTCTGCAGGCATTGTTTGACAGGGTGCACCTATGTACATGCAGGCATTACACTCGGTACACATAAAATAAAAATAACAAATAAAAAATTTAAAACTGTGATTTAAAAATAAGAGTCGGGCGTAGTGGCACACGCCTTTAATCCTAGCCCTCGGGAGGCAGGCAGACAGATCTCTGTGAGTTCAAGGCCAGCCTGGTCTACATAGTGAGTTCCAGGACAGCTGGGACTACAGGGAGACCCTGTCTCAAAAAGACCAAACAAAAAAAAAAAAGAAAAAAAGAAAGGAAAGAAAAACAACAAAAATCAGTCATATCTTATTATTTTTATTTTATGAGTATAATGCCTGCAAGTGGATAGATGTACCCGTGTCATGTAATGCCCACAGAGGTCAGAAGAGGGCGTTGGAGTCCCTGGAACTGCTGTTAGCTACCAAGTGGGTGCTAGGAACTGAACCTGGGTCCTCTGTAAGAGCAGCCAGGGCTTTAACCGCTCAGTCATCTCTCCAGCCCCCTACAGTGATTTAAGAATAAAAACTACATGTTTTTGTTTTGTTCTGCTTTGTTTTTCTAGATTTATCTTGACCTATGAAGAATTTCTAAGATAAGACTGGCAAGATGGCCCAGTGGGTAAAGGCACCTGTTATGCAAACCTGGCAACCTGAGTTTGATCTGTGGGACCCACGTAAAGGTGGAAAGAGAGAACTGACTCAAAAAGTTGTCCTCTGACTTCACAAGCATACCACTGACTGATTCCCTACCCTTATAATTTTAAAAAAGAAAAAAAAATTTAAGACAAAAATTTAGCATCCCTATGAAAAGGGTTATAACCATTAAACCAATCTTACCTTTTGCTCTGCTTGTATGAACTCTTGCACGGACCCAAACAACATTATCAGCATTTTGTACTGTCAAGTCTCTAACTCGAACCAAAATTCGATCTGAAATAATATAGTAAAGCAATTTTAAAATTCAAAAATTACAAAGAGGACATAATTATTTGTCTGATAGCTAACCTAAAAACTTGGTATCACCTTAATAATTCTTTTCTCTATTCCTTTCAATATGCAATTTGCCTCCTTTTGGGGGGGTATTTTTGATACAGGGTCTCCCTGTAGCCCCAGCTGGCCTGGAACTTGCTATGTAGACCAGGCTAGCCTCAAACTCACAGAGATCTGCCTGCCTCTGCCTCCTAAGTGCTGGGATAAAAGGTGTGCTCTCTGGCTTCAATTTGCCTCTTTTTGTAGTTCCTAAGAGAGATGGTTCAGTGGTTAAGAGTGCTTGCTGCTCTTGTAGATGACCCAAGTTCAATTCCCAGCACCTACATCAGGCAGCTCACAACTGCATGTAATTCCAGCTCCATAGATCCCAACATCCTTTTCTGAACTCTGTAGGCATTTGCATGCATGTGTACACACAAACACATACAAGTTTTTTAAATCTTAAAAAAATTTAAATGAATAAATATAATTCTTCACCATCTACTACGGTCTCTTGCCTAAACTACAGCAATCAGCTCTTATCTAGTCTTCTAATTCAGTCTACACTGCTGAAAATTTTAATACCTTAAACGGCCAAAACCATCTTGTCCTCACCTGTCTGAGCCTAAGTGAATAAGGCATTTTGTGTACATGTTGTGAAAATAGCCATACTATGTAAGTTAGCTAGCCACAAGGATTCTCTGCCAGGTCTGGATAATTGTGGTATCTCATTTCCTAGGACGAGAACTATTATATAAATGCTGGAAAATGGCTCTTGAAAATTCCTTGCCCTGGACCAAGGTGGTGCAGGCTAGAGGTTACAGTCAGCATCTTTCCCACTAGTATGGTTTGCAGGAGAGAATGAGTTAATATCCAAGGAGTCAAAAAAAGAAAAGAAAAGAAATGTTCTGAAGATGCTCTGGTCCCTAACCCAATTATGCTTGATGCATCTCATATTTTGTTTCCTATAGTTGCTATGTGAGCTCTTTGGCAGGTGAACCTATTATACCCTCTAACATTAAATAAAATACTACAACCACCTAGAATGTGCCAAACAGAAAAATGGTTGCAAAGCAATAAATAGTGATAGCTTTATGAGACAACATTCAGAAATCACTTTATTGTTTTAAATATGTACTAATTTGATTTGGGGAAAAATTTGGGTACTAAGTAAAAACATACCAACAGATGACATAATATTATGAGCAATTCCTTTGGGAATGTCATAAAAATCAAATTATAAATGCATGTTATCTGCCTAAATATATTCACAATTGGTCTCTTAAAGCAAAGATGCTGCTGGGACAAGGTGGGTCACTGTGGTTCTCACAGTCCAAAGCAAAAGGAATGAAAGAGGAAGAGGAATCCTGTAAAACATTGTCAGCAGACTACAAGTCAAGCCAACTTCCAAGTCCACTATGTAAACTCAGGTGAGAGCATGTGAAAGAGCGAAGAACAAAACAAACCCAAGGTTAAAAAGCAGAGTTTAAAAAGCCAAGATACAAGTACACATCTGTAATACTAGCATTCAGGAGGAAGAGACAGAAGGATCATAAGTTCAAGGTCATCATCTGCTGCATATGGAGTTAGTCTGAGATACATGAAACCCCATCTCAAAAAATAAAAATTACAGCTGGAGAGATGGCTCAGTGGTCAAGAGCATGACTTCTCTTGCAGAGGACCTGAGTTCAATTCCCAGCACCCATATGGAGGCTAACAACCGTCTGTAACTCCAGGTCCATGGGAATTCAACACCCTCTTCTGACCTCTGTGGGCACTGCCTGACATGGGTGTACTTACGTACATGCAGCCAATGCACTCATACACATAAAACAAAAATAATAAATATTTTAAAAAATATAAAAATAAAAAAAGGAAATAGTCTTTTCTAGATTAGGAGCTCTAAACTGACAATATTTACACAGGGTAATGATGTATTACTTGGGCTATGAATGCCATTTAAGCTTTCAAAGTTATTCTTTTGGAGTTAGGCGCTTAGCCAATCCTATTTTAAACTTCCTAAAGTGCTCTTCTAGAATTAGAGAGAAAGAAAACAGGCTTTTATAATTACATAGATACTAACCTGGTTTTTCTTGTGATTGTATGATAGAAGATATCCCATATCTCTCTTTAGCATAATCCTAGAAAAAAAATTTTGTAAGATGATAAACACATAAATACAAACAGAACTACAAATAAATTTTTCAAAAACATTTTACAATTCAGATTCAGCTATTTTAATACATGCAAATATGCCATTCATTTACGTATGTATTTACTGAAAACAGAAAAGCACCCAGTTTGAGGTTACACATTATATACTATACACATTTATATAGCTACATCATGTATAATAGCCCTCTCAGGTAAAATATACCCACACGTACAACAGTTTAACCACCTTGTTCATAAAAGGAGCTTCATCTACTTCAAAGTAGGAATATAAATTTCCCCTGTGAAGGGAGTAGGATGAAGTACCAGTTTTATTAACTTCCTACTACAGGAAGAGATGTTCAAAGAAGACCAATACTTTGGGTAAGGTTTCTGAGCACCAGATGTCCAGTTTTCAGAAATTGGAGATTTGGATATAAGCTAACTACAACTTTCCTATCACAAAACATCATTAGAAAATTCATGTCTTTCCTTCTAAAATCCAGCCTCAGTATATAACAGACATTATCAAATTTCATGTCATAAAGTTAAGCACAGAAAACAGGAGATCTTACTAAGGTCAGGCTATGAACCAACTATACTTATTAAATAAGTGGTCTTTTATTTAACCTTACTTCACCTCTAAAAGGATCTCTTAGGCTCCTTCCAGCTATAAAGTTAGAGTACTCTGCCACAATGTTTACCTTATACCTTACATCCATATTATTTCCAATGGTGTACTACTAATTTAAACACACAAAAATAACTTTAGATTTTTTTCTAACTTAAGATTTGTCTGAAACAGTGTCTGTCATTCTACATTATCTGTTGTTTTTCTCCTTAAATCTGAGAAAAACTGGATTTTATGAATATACTAAAGTAAAACATACGTTAAGGGTCTTGCTGAGTAATCACTTTTGAATATTAATAAAATACACTTAAGGACAAATGCCATCTGGGCCACAGTTGAAAGACACTAAATAAAACCCAAAATAAACAGGTGACAGGATGTCAACCAACAACAACAAAAAAAGAGGTGTTATCTTTTCTAATTAGTATTCACATTTCAGTAGAACTATTAATTTAATATTCTGAGACAAGTTATAATGTAGCTTAATGTAGAGTTCCTCAACCAAAAAATTAGGAACCAGACATAGATTAAGGCTTATTTATTACTACAACACAACTAACTTGAAGGATGGTTTCAAATTCCGATTTCTGGAAAGAACTAAGGGATCACTGAGGGCTTATCATCTGCATTACCTACACCACTGGTCAATGAAAGGAAATTAAAATGACATGTGCTGTTTATACCTGTCATATGAAAAAGTCATTAAATGCACTAGCAGCCAGTTTTCCAGAGAACTGACATTACTTGCCAAAAGGACTATGAGGACTGGGAGGATATTGATCAGTAAAGGTTACAAAAATTTCACGAGACTGCAGGGGGGGTAGTGTGTTACGTGCAGTACGTGCTAACCCAGGCAAGCCTAAGTGAGAGCCAGCTGCAGCTACTTCCGGCTCAGTGGGTGCAACACGTCTACCTGAACCCGCCGGGAACAAGTTACGCCTAGGCCAAGGTTCCCAGGAAAAACAGTCTGGGGTGGTTCTGGCAGTGGGCTCGAGCAGTGGCCTTGAGGGTCTCTGGGGAGGGTATGGGGCCATGCAACACCGCAGGCCGCGGTCGGCAGATAAAGTGCAGACAGAAACCCCGAGAACAGCGATGGGCTTGCCCCACACCCTCCTTCAGCACCCTCCCCCGCTCCGCTCGGGGAAGGAGGAAACCCACTTCCGCCGCGTCCACGATCTCCCGCGGCTTCTCCTGACCCTTGCGGCTGGCGTTGACGCTGGGCATCGGGAAACTGGATTTGGGGAGTAGATACCACCCTCCCTCGCAGGCTTCAGAACAGCTGGCCAAGGGGTTTCTCCCTCCCGCACCGTCTCCGCCCTCCCAGCCGGCCCGGGTTTAAGCGATCGAATCCTCGTGGAGTTTCGGCTTCGGAAATATCGTGAGAGCTTCAGCTCTCACGATATTTCGGCCGGAGTCGCCTGCTCCTCCTCTTACCCTGCCCACGTAGGAGCTGAAAGGACTCCCGGTAACTCGGTGTTGTATCTCAGGATTGGCTCAGAGGTTATTTGGGTCTGACGTTCTGCTTGACTTACCCTGTGGTCTAATTTTATTCCGTTTGATATGTCTGTCTCTCATATCTTTCTTTTAACCATAGCCTAGTCACCAGAACACCTTTGCGAGCTCAGGCCTGAATTCTCTAGGCTTTTATGCCTTCAACTGCCTTGAGCTGTTTCTTGGATCGAAGGAGACCTCCTGGCAAGCCCCTGCTCTTCCCTGCGTGTGAGGTCTTAGGGATGCTGGGGGTGACTTTATTTAGGTCTCAGGATGCAATACTGAGGAGGATGGATAATGGCCTGCCCTCTACTGTATGTAGCTTATTGTCTAATTGCAGGTAAAATTTTGTCCACCATTTAATTGATAAATGATTATAAGTAACTATTTTTTGTGCTAAGCATATTAGGACAGTAAAATCATTAGTCATGCAAACCATCAGACATGGTTCCCTTTTTTTTTTTTTTTTTTAAATCTTTTTGAGACCGAGTCTCCTTGTGGCCCCAGCTGGCCTGGAACTCACTATGTAGACCAGCTTGGCCTTGAACTCAAGACCCTCCCCATCCCCCGGCCACTGCCTCCCAAGTGCTGTGATTAAAGGTGGGTGCCACTATGCTCTGCTATGGTTCCGTTCTTAACGCTAGTCGCGTAGGTGCTCCATCTTGATACATTTTGGCTGGGTAGAAGGAGACACGTTTCACATTCAACTCCTGTGTCATTGGTCAAAACAATGTGTCCATTCCTGATGTATCCACAGAGCAGGAGGATTTATTCATCCCTTAGAGAGTGACATTGTGATCAGTAATACATTTCTGTTTAGAAAAATACATTTCTTGGGTCTGGAGAGTTGGCTCAGTGGTTAAGAGCGCTGAATCCCAGCACCCACATGGCAGCTAACAGCCATCCCTAACTCCAGTTCCAGGGAATCTGACACCCTCTTCTTACCTCTGGTGGCACTGCACAACATGGGTGTACTTACACACATGCAGTCAATACACTTATACACATAAAATAAAGATAATAATATTGACAACTGATTGCTTCTAGATGAGGAACAGCTGACCTTCCTAAAACAAAGACTTCTAGATAGGCTGACTAGATTCACCAAATGGACAGGTAGTGGGGAATGGCTGGGGGTGCCGACAACAGACAGTAAGTAGCAGGGATATCAGAGTATAAGGGCTCTAGTGGGGGGAGGGAGGCTATGGGAGGGTGCCATCTGGGAAGTGGGTGTATAGTTGAATAAGATGGTTTGGCATGTTCTTTGTGATATACACAAAATAAAATTTTTAAAAATGTATTATATTTGAGGAGGAAGCATGGAAATTTACCTCTTATTAATTAGTAGAGGTGATAAACATTACCATTGAAATCTACTGGATGACTTTATAGACATACACAGGTGCCAAGGATCCAAGTGCAACTGATTATTACTAGTAATAATTAGATACATACAGATTAGAGTTGCATGTGATAACATCTCAGTGTTAGTAGCAAAAACAATGAGGCTTTCCATAAGAAACAATATATTTTAGAATGAAATGGAGATCTTTTTTGAGGGTTAAATCCCTAGAAACTTACAGCCACTTGTGAAAGAGATGTACTCTTGTCTCTTGCTGTGTTACTGAATATGTTAAAGCTCTAATGAAATGCTTCTAATCATGTTATTAAAAATTAAAAAAATGAAAATAATAATAAAAATTAAAGATAATAAAACATTAAAAAAGAAAAATATATTTCTTTATACTCATGGCATTCCAACACTGCAGTCTGTGAATTTGCTTCATTTTGACATTTTTTTAAGCACTTATTCCCTCAGGTTTAGTACTAATGTATGAACTGATTAGCAGAAATCTGAATATAAATCCCATATGCTATCTTTTTGCTAGGCTCTTATCCTTCCATCTGGCCATGAAGCCTCTCCATGTAGTTTTTTTTTTTTTTCATATATTTCTTACTTTGCCCGTTTTGCCTTGATAGAGTGTCTCATTTAGGTCATATCCTTGGAGCAATTATGTAAATATGTGTTCTTGCTTTTGGCTCTCCTAATAATGGTAACAAGAGAACCTGGAGTGGTGTTTCTCTTTAAACCCAGCATTCAGGAGGCAGAGGTAGAAGGATCTCTGTAAGATGGAGGCCAGCCTGGTTTACATAGTAGCTGGGGCTATAGGGAGACACTGTCTTGAAAAGATTTTTTAAAAAGTAGCAGAAGCAGGGCTTGATGGGTGTAGTCCCAGCACTTGGGAGGCAGAGGAAGGCGGATCTCTGTGAGTTCAAGGCCAGCCTGGTCTACATAGTGAGCTCCAGGACAGCTGGTGCTACAGGGAAACCCTGCTTCAAAAAGACACACACACACACACACACACACACACACACACAAAATAGCAGAAGAGAAGCATTTGCTTCAACAATGGTCAGTGGTCACATACTATATTCCCTTAAAAATCCCTGAAACAATGTCAATACCAGGATTAACTGGTGTTCTGGGTTGAACTGTGCCCACCTCTTTAACCTCTGCTCATTCATATTTTGAAACCATAACCCAGAATGTGATGGATTTGAGGACAGGATTTTAAAAAAGTATTTTATTATTTTTAAATAAAGAAAGAAGAAAGAGCACATGAAGTTATCAGAAAAAAATGTGATGGGGAGATATGGGAGGAGTTGGAGGGGAGGGAGTGGGCATAGATTTGATCAAAACACCTTATATGCATGTATGAAATTCTCAATAACTTATTTTAAAATATTTTATTTTTATTTTACGCGTAGGAGTGTATTGCCTGCATGTGTGTAAGTGCACCTATGTCACACAAGGCCCGTGGAGGTCAGAAGAGGACATCAGATCCCCTGGAACTGGAGTTAGGGATGGTAGCTGCCATGTGGGGTACTGGGAATCGAATCCAGGTTCTCTATAAGGGCAGTCAGTGCTTTTAACCACTGACCCATCTCTCTAGCCCTGAAGACAGGATTTTTGAAAAGATAATGAGATTAAAATGAAGTAATTGGTATAGGCCTTAGTCCAGTATGATTGATAGCTTTAAAAATATTTTATTTTTTACTTTATGAGAATATTGCCTGCGTGTAGGTAGGGGCACCCCTGTCACGCAGTGCCCTCGGCGATCAGAAGAGGTTGTCAGATGCCCTGGAACTGGATATGGACTGTTATTAGCCACTATGTGGATACTGTGTCCTCTGTAGGAGCAGCCCATGCTCTTAACTGCTTAGCAATCTCTCCAGCCCCATGTTTGGTATTTTAACGTGAGAAAATTTGACCACAGATACACATAAACTACATGAAAACATCCACCTGCAAGACAATGAGACCTTGATTTTGGACTTTTATCTTCCAGAACAGTGAAAAAAATGCTTTTTCTGTTGTTAAAGTCATTTAGACTATAGTACTTTGTTATAGAAATCCTAGTAAATAGTAGACTTGGGAACTCATTAGAATTATAAAGTCCTTAGCCTTATCACAGATGAACTGAGTCAGAAACTTGGAGTGAAACCTATCAGTTTGGGTATTAAAAACCTTGTAGGTGATTCTTAGGCATACTCAAGTTTGCAAAGATCTAGTCTAGTTGTTAAAACTGTAGGCACTGGATTGGCCTGGGCTCATACCTCAACTCAGCCACTTACTGTTGTATAATTTGAGGTACCTTTACAAACATTGCTGTTTCAATTTCTTTATTTGTAAAAAAGAGTATAATATTCATCTCTACTTTTAAAGTTGGTATAATGATAAGAGAACCCATCTAGATAGAATTCAGAACAGATCTTGGTGCATGGTTAATATTCTACACAGTGAGATATTATAGTAGGTAACATGTAAATGTAAAACCTGAAACTCAGTTTGTGAACAGATAATCAAGTATACTGAATTATTTGTAAATGAAAACCTGAGGAGTCCTTGGAGTGAAATGGAGTGTTCCAACCTCTATTTTGACTGGTTGAAGACCCCTGCCCCCACTTCCTGGTTGTGATTGTGATTTGGAAAATACAGATGATGCCAAATTCTTTGGAGTTTATGCAAATAATGCATAGCACACATTGTTATAAGGCTCTTCATCCTCTAGGAAGGCCTATTGTCACCAATTTTATATCCTGTTCCCATGAGAACTTTACCGTTTTGCTCCTCTCTGCAGTCTACTTCTTGTTTTGTAATGCTGAAGGTCAAATCGGGCCCAGAATGCTAGGCACACACTGCCACTGAGCTGCACCTGCAGCCCTCCTCTGTGTGGTCTTGATGGATTGTCTAGTTTCTCTCTTGGACAACTTACCCTGTTTCTCTGATGGCCCATTTAAATCCACCTTCTGTTAAAAAGAGTTTTCCATCAAGGCACCTAGACCATCATTTCCCTTGTTTTCCAGCCACCTTTTATTGTAGGCAACTCCTATGTTACTGTGCAGCTGCTGCTAGCTCCTAGTGACATTTTCACTGGATAAGTTGCATTTCTCATTTTGTTTTTCTGTATATTTTGTTGTCTTCAGTATTTTATGTGAGTTGTAAATAGTTATAGTCTCATAATAGTTATAGTCTCATAAAATGAGAATGGGGAAGGTCTTTCCCAAATAGAGCTAAGCTAGGAATGTTGGAGTGTCTGAAAATAACTGAAAATGCCACATGGCTGCTACTTCCCTGCAAAATATTATTTCAGTCCCAAACTTGTTTTTGTAATCCTCTCCTGTAATACACAGCTCTTTTCTCCTTTTACTTACCTTCTTTTGTTTGTTTGTTTGCTTGTTTTGAGACGGTCTCGCTGTAGCCCCAGCTGGCCTGGAATTTGCTACATACCAGGCTGGCCTCGATTTCACAGAGACCCTCCTGCCTCTTCCTCCCAAATGCTGGGATTAAAGGTATGGGATATCACACTCAGCTTCCACTTCCCTTCTTAATCACTCTATTAGTCACTTAATGGATATCTGTTCATTTTCTTGCTTCTAAATTTTGGTGCTGTTTCTTTTTTTAAAAAATATTTTATTATTTTTATGTGTGTATGTGTTTTACCTACATGTAGATAAGTGCACCTGTGTCATGCAATGCCGGTGGAGAACAAAAGAGGCTGTCGGATCCCCTGGAGCTGGAGTTACAGACAGTTGTTAGCTGCCATGTGGGTGCTGGAACAGCCAGTGTTCTTAACCTCTGAGCAATCTCTCCAGCCCCTGGTGCTGTTTCTTATTACACTCTTTCCAACATTCAAATATCTATCCAGATCTTTTCCTGCTTTTTCCTTTTAAATGTTATCCATTTCTAACATCTCAAAGACTAGACTTTCTACAATTGAGAAGAACTGGAGAATTCAAGGTAAATAATAATTCATCTGGCTAGATTATAGCTGATCTTATTTTGTAATGCTGTATATCACTGCAGTCATATACAGAAATTCTACAAAGGTCTTTAAAATTTTTCCTTCCAATAAATTAAATGTAAACTGTTTGGTTTTTGCCCAAGCTTTATCTACATATTACATGGTAATTTAAAGTACCAGATTGGTGTAACTAACCTTGGGTGTTTAATAGCCATACTTTGAGCCTATACTAATCTGGTCAGAGGGACTTACAGGACAGTTTTTGTTCCTTGCCCTCCAAGGTCGACTAAGTTCCAGGGGATTAAGAAGCATCTCTCAACACATAACTGTGTTGAGTCACCTGTCATCCTGTTCAGGGAGGCCGTGGAGACCCCACCAGATGGGCTTGAACTAGTGTCCAGTCTACAAAGAGGAGGGTCAACACAGAGGAAACTTCCTCCATGCTTCCAAGTGAAGCCAACCACAGTCAAGCAGAACCTTTGATTTATCCTCACATAGATGGAACTGGCTAAAGAAAGGCCTAAGGAGCCAGAGGTGCTCCCAAGCCCATGTGACCCCTGAGGACCAGATCTTCAACCGACCTTAAGAGTAAAAATAAATTGGTTTGAGTCAACTGCATGGTCTTAAACACCCAAAAAGAAAGTATAACCAAAGAGTTAAATGATTGGTATATTTCTTTAAGAGTCCAAAGGATTGAACATCCCAGATGTTAGATATAACATCTTAAGTTCATATAAGGTGTTATTTAGACAATTTCTCGCTAATGATTTGTTCTTAATAAGAAAATGCTGCTCAGGTGTCAGACTTCAAATCCTGGTCTAATCAATTCTGAAGTCCCTACCTAGAACCAAAAGAAAAACCTATTGTTATCTAAAAATTAAATGATGGCTAAATTTCTTCTCTCTCCCTGTCTAGAGGTCATTTGGGAGGGAACTCACACTGTGATTCTAGTCACTCCAGCAGCTATCAAAGAGCCTGAAAAGCAAATCTTGAGTCTAGCCATTGTAGCCAAAAGAAAAATGAGGAGAAACCCAGTAGAGGGATACTTTTGGAAGTCCTCATCAAGAAACTCTGAGTTGAAAATTCAGCCTGTTCTGACTCCTCCTGGTTCCCTGCCTAGAATTTGTGCCTAACTACTCTTGCCTTACTTCTTCCCCTCCCCAGCTCACTGATATCCATCCTCCTCATGATAAGGATTATTCCATGCCTTTTAAATCTTTTCAGGTCAGGACAAAGTCAATGAGATGTCCCAATGGTCAGTGAACCAGATGCTCTTAACTGAATTCCCTTAGGTCTCCTACCACCACCTGCCCACCTAACCCCACACTCCAGACTGATGTTTCAGCCTTTTGAGGCACCCCCCTCATTGCTGACATCCCTGTCCAACAAGAAGTAACTAAAGAAAGACTACTGTTGCCACTTGTCATCAACAAAAAGGCTGGAATGTTAGGTTCCTGGCAGGCTCCTAAAATGGTGGTGCAGCTCCCAATACTCTAAAATGGCAGATTCGAATTTAGCCCCAGGCAAGTTCTGCTGCTCACCTGGAAAACTAACCAATCCTGAGCTGAACTGCCCAGCCTACATCATGGAAAGTTACTCAAACACCTGCTAAAAAAGATGTCCGACTCCCCCTGCTCGCTGTTTGTGGCTGCTGTTTCCCTGCTACCTGATAGGCAGCCCAGCAGTCTGTTTGCTCTCAAATAAACTGCTGCCCCCTCCCCACATGGAGTTGCCTGGTCAGTGGTCTTTGTCATGTCCTCTTCCATACATAAACTATAAAGCAAATATAAAGCATTATTATACATTTAAAAGAACTGTACACTGAAGAAGTGGGAAAAAGTCAAGTCTCAATAATGCAATTCTGAGACTCATGGTCTCCTGCCTGAGGTTCCCTCTTGTTTTGTTGCTTTTCACTTTACTCACTTTAATACATAGGCTTTCTGTGTTTCACTTATATATCCACCACTGTCACTGTTCAAAGCAGTATGTGGTTTAAATCTCTACCTTTGGTTCAGTAAGAGACCCTGTCTCAAAAGATAAGGTGGCGAAAGATTGAGGAAAGTACCTGATGTTGACCTCTGACCACCACATGCATATGCACCGGCACGCATACATAGACACACACAGACGCAAGCATATGCACAGAAGAAGGTCTTGAATCCCCTGGAACTGGAATTACAGACAGTTGTGAGCCACCACGTGGGTGCTGGGAACCTAGCTCAGGTCCTCTATAAGAGCAGCAAGTGCTCTTAATCTCTCAGCTATCTCTCCAGCCCCTTTAACATTTTTTGTTTATATGAAACCAGCCACTATTATATTTTTTCTTTGTTTTTATTTATTAATTTTTTTGAGATAGGGTCTCACTATGTATATCTGGCTGACCTAGAACTCACTATGTAGACCAGGCTGGCCTTGAACTTACAGAGATCTGCCTGCCTCTGCCTCCTAAATTCTGGGATTAAAAATGTGCACCACCATGCCTGACTATATTTCTTAGTATATTTAATTTTTAGACTGTTCATTGATTGATTTATTAATTGATTGATTGACTAATAATTGCAGTTCTGGAAATCAAACCCTGGATCTTATTATACATTATGAGTGCTCTGTCATTGTGCTATGTCCTCAGAACAATTTTTTACATTCTCATTTTACAGATGGGAAAACATCAGAAATAACTTGTTCAAAGTCAGACAACAGATGTGGAATCACCATGAGGAATGTAAGCATCACCCTGAAGAGCTACACACATAGCCACTGAGAGCCCACCTCCCATAACTAATCCTGAAGCTTGTTATGTTAATCCTGAAGTGACTTAGGTAAGTCGAGTATTACTTTTTAGATTTATATCTTGCTTGGTTTATTTAAGAAGATCCCTTAAAGCTTTGACAAGCTCATTCATTTATTTTAGATTCAAGGCTGTGTACCACACCACCAGCTACAGTTAGTGTGCTGGATAGCTTTAGTGTCAACTTAACACACCTGGGTTGAGGGAGCCTCAATTGGAGAAGTGCCTCCATTGGACTGGCCTGTGGCCATGTCTTTGGGGCATTTTCTTGATTGTTGAGTGATGTGGGAGGGCCCAGCCCACTGTGGGTAGTGCCACCCCTGGGCAGGTGGGCCTGTGTTGGATAAGAGAGCAAGCTGAGCAGGGGCCAGGGGAGAAAGACAGTAAGCAGCATTCCTCCATGGCCTGTGCTCCAGCTCCTGCCTCCAGGTTCCTGCCCTGAGTTCCTACCTTTGGCTCCCGGATGAACTGTGACCTGGGATATGTAAGCTAAATAAACCCTTTCCTCCCCAAGTTGGTAGTGGTCAGAGTATTTTGTCATAGTAATGAAGAACAAACTAGGACAGTTAGAAAAGTCTAAATCTTTGGTTATTCTTACTGTCACAATTCAGGATAGCCTGGAGCTTTTGCTATTTTTTTTCCAGGCTTCTTGTCCCTGGTCACCCACAGAGTTAAGCATAGTGATGGGAAGGCAGCAAGGGCTCAAAGGCTAGAGAATGGGCGCGGGGTCACTCTGGTAAACTGACCCTGTGGTTAGGGGAAGGGAGGAGGAAGCTGGCAGAACCCTTATGCATCCTCTCCCCAACTGAAGGAGGGAATTACTTCTTTTTATAATAAAAAGGTCCAGAGCAGGGAAAGGCCTGCCCCTGAGTGCTACTTTCCAACTGTACGACTGTTTTCAAGGTCCTTCCTTCCCAGACATTCTGTAGCTGTTCCGGCAAAGTGCTATGATTTTGTTTCCAGTCTGCCTGCTCCCCATCGGCTTGAAACTACTTCAAAGGCTCTGAAGGACATAAAAGAGTTATAATAGTCAATAGGTACAGGTTCCCATGGTACATTAAGAAAAAGGCCTTGAGGGCCACACATGGTGGTGCATGCCTTTAATATCAGAACTCAGGAAGCAGAGGCAGGTAGATCTTTTAGATCTGTGAGTTTTGAGGCTAGCCTGGACTACATAGCGAGTTCCAGGCCAGCCAATGCTACATAGTGAGACCCTGTCTTAAACCAAACCGAACCAGACCTAAATGAATCCAAAAAGGCAGGGGGGAAAAAAAAAGAAAAGAGAAAGGTTTTGAGCAGTTGATGGCCTTGACTCAGACCCCATCTCTGCTATATGGCTCCAGGAAAGTTGCTTTTCTTCTCTGAGCATCAGTGTCCTCATCAGTATTTTCCTGGTTTGTTTGTTGTAGAGAATAAGTATGTCCTGTAGTCAAAGTCTTTGGCCTCATATATGCCAAGCATCCATCAGGGCAGCTATCATTTTCTTGCAGACTGTGTATTGTGATCGATAGGACTATAACACACGTGCAGTCTTAGCATGCAAGTTGTCAAGGGCCAGGCTGGTGTTTCTTGCTCCACTATACTGTCTTTCTTGAGGAAAAAGACAACCATCATGGTCTAGCTTAGAGAAGTATTGTGTGTACATGCGTGTGTGTAATAGACTTTTATAAATGTACAAATTATGTAAGACTAGATAAAATGATCTAAGGTTCAAAATTTCCAGAGGTCCAGGAATCTCTTAAAGTTGAATGCAGCATTGTTTGTGTCTATATGCATCTACCTTTAAGATGAGAGATGAGAGGTGATTCATAATTACCAACAGATTCTTAAAGGCGTCCATGTTTGGACAGATAAGTAAAAACCCTAATATAGGAGCATTCTTTCAAACCTTCTAGTGTAATTCTAGTAATTTGGAAGCCTGCTCTGACTTAAGGCACAGCAGGCACAGCTTTGGAAAGTACTGGAAATGGGTCTTGTTTTCTTGGTTTCTTTCTCAGTGTGTTCTTAATGAAGTGGCACCACTGGCAATCCCTACTGGCACAGGTAATGCTATAAAGACAGACTCACAGGTGTGGCCGTGCAGCATAGTGAGACACTGTCTCAAACCAAACTGAACCAAACCTAACTGAACCCCAAAAGACAGACACTGTAATTATGGCTAACAAAGCCCAGCCTCAGCTGTACTTCTGTCCCTAGGAAGTCACTGATGCAGCACACCTATAATTACAATCTGTACCTGAAACATAATTCTCAGGATGACAAATACTTAAATTAGGTCCCCAGACATGGCACCTAAAGTAAAGCCCTAAGGGATGATGTCTTAGGAGTGACAGCAGAGTTCCAGTCATTGGGGATTAATAAACAAGAATTCTGTCACTCAGAATCTCAGAAGGGGCAGGTGTCCAAGAAGCCCTTTTGACTCCTGCAGTGGGGCCTGGTGACCTGTGGCCTGAGCTCCATAATTTATGCCTACAGCACAAAATCCATAGGGATGGCCACATCAGCATTTTGCAACTTAGAATCACCTTCTCAGGCTGGGAAGATGACTCAGTGGGTAAAAAGGCACTTGCCACCAAGCCTGACAACCTGGACCTGAATTCTATCTCTGGGACCTACATGGTGAAAGGAGAGAACTGACTCCCACCAAGTTGTCTCTGATTTCCATATGAGCACCATGGCATGTCAAAACATGCACACACAATAAATAATTGTTAAAAACAATGCAATTATTATTTCTCTCTCTCAGTTGACTCAGGTGCTTGCTGGCCACATTATTATTATTATTATTTTATTATTATTATTTTTTTTTTTTGAGACAGGATCTCTCACTGGTCTGGAACTCACCAAATAGGCTAGGCTGGATGGCTAGTGAGCCCCAGAGACTCACCTACCTCCAACTCCCCAGTGCTGGGATTCCAAATATGTGCCACCACACCCAACTTTTTACATGGGTCTCATGCTTTCAAGGGAGGCACTTTATTGACTGAGTCATCTCCTCTGCCCAAAAGCAGTATTATGAGATTTAATGCTTCTTTCTTTTTTTTCTATAGATGCTTTCTTCTGAATTGTAAGAAGGATTTGGCTCATTAATTTGATTTTTAAAGAAAATTATTTTTGGCATGTAAAGAAAATAGAGATTCAGCAGGAATGAGGAAGAAAAATGCAATTTCAAGTAATTTAAGAGTTCACTGGATGATGACTATTTCTGCAATTGTTTTTACTTGTCTCTAGTTAACAGATAATCCATGAATTAACAAGTATATAATACAAGCCTCATGAAATCTATTAGGGAAATGTTTTTGACCCCTGGAAATAATTGAGATAAACTGTAGGTGCACCTGTTCCTAGTCATGTCTTGGGAATACTGAAACCTCGGCACAGGATGAACGTCTGTGGGTATTAGTCTACAGTAACAAAACAAAGTTGGCAGTGGTCTACGGAAGTCCTAGGGGAGCAGGGAGTCACTGTCTGCAGCACTTAGTGCATGTTGATGTCCATCCACCAGGAAAGGGAATCTAAAGCGTCCAGATGACTCCCCCCTCACAAAGCTGTTGTGAAATAAAATACAAATCCTTCCTGAATATTTCCAGCTTTCCTTCCTGGAGGAAGTTTTCAGTCAATGGGAAACAAAGCCTATTCAAAGGATTAAAGCCAGAGTCATTCCATTGTGTAAGGGCTTCAATAACTAACATGGCTTTCCTTCCACTGACAAAATTTTCAATTCACAAATCATCTCAAAAACAGGAAATTTTTGGGAAACACATGCTTATAATAACAAACAAGGGATCTATCCTATGGTATGGAAGTTTTTGCAGAGATGTTTCCAGTTTTTTTTTTTTAAATTGTGCTGCATTCTGGATGTATTCGAGGAAGAATATTCCTTAAAAGAAGAAGCCATATGGCTTGCAACATAAAATTGCTCAGTTCCCACCTGACCCTGAGAATTGAATAGAGGAACGGAAGAATATTATCCTGGTCAAATTTTCATGGTCTCTCTCCAGTTGGTACCATGGAGGCAGCAAGTGGTTCTCTGACCTGCTCTCTTCTTCCTGCTTTCCTTGGACCTGTTTTCCCTCTCATTTCATCCAAATATCCCTGGTGTTTATGTAAGAGATGGAGTACGTCAAAGCAGCAACCTTGGTCAGCAGGGCTGGAAAGAAAGCTTGGGGTGGGGTCAATGGAATGTAATAGCCACTGAAAACCATAGAACGGTAAAGCGGTTGTAGAAATCGTCATTACCTTTGCAAGCAAGGCTGCTGAAGTAGAGGACAGAGAAGCTTTAGTCTGTGAGCAAACTTATATTGCAAATCTATGCTAGATGCTACTGAATAAACTACTAAGGGAATTTTTTTTGAGGATTCCTCATTTTGGTAACAATCTTTTAATCCTTTAGAGGTGTGTGTGTGTGTGTGTGTGTCTGTGTGTCTGTGTGTCTGTGTGTCTGTGTGTCTGTGTGTGTGTGTTTTAAAGATGGGGTTTTATGTATTCCAGGCTGGCCTAGAACTCACTATGTAGCCAAGGATGACCTTTATCTTCTTATCTTCCTGCCTCTACCTCCCAAGCCCTGGTATGTGCCACCAGATACAGGTTTTGAGGTGCTAAGGATCAGACCCAGGGCTATGTCCATGCTAGGCAAGCACCCTACCCATTGAGCTATAACCCCAGCCTTCCTTTTGGCTTTTATGTATAATTCTCCCTAATTGAAGATGATAGTATATATTTATCTCCCAGCATTTTTTCTGAGGCTCTTGCTCCTCAGAAGTGTAGCTTGGATCCCAGGTTCTTGCTTTTGAAAAGTGTAGAATCATGGGCTCCACTTTGTCACCTCTGAGTCAGTTGGTATTTTAACAGACTCTTTGAGGATATACATTTACACCAAGATTTGAGACGGGCTGATACGTACTCTGCAGACCTGACTCATAAGCTACACTCTCAGGGGTCTCAGGATGGCAGATTCCTTCACCTTATTGTGCTTTCAGCTTGATTGTTCCATATGAAGAACCACCCCCACCCCAGCCTCTCTATCCCATTATTCTGTTTTCTGTTTTGTTTTTTAGATAGGGTCTTATATAATCTAGGCTAGCCTCAATGTAGCTAGGGGTAACCTTGGAATTCTGATCTTCCTGCTTCTACTTACCAAGTTCTGAAATTATAGGTGTGTTCCTTTGTGCTTAACTTATACAGTGCTGGGGATCAAACCCAGGTCTTGGTAAATGCTAGGCAAATACTCTGCCACTGAGCTATATCCTCAGACCTCCTGTTTTCTGTTTTTCAGTGGCAGTTATTATCTGAAATTATTTTATTAGTTCTTGCTTTGTTGAGGGTTGTATTTTTAGTGCTCCAAAGTTTTTGTCATGTCCAAGGTGCTTAGAGAAATATTTGCTAGATAAATGAATCATGGATGCTAGAGAGACAAGTGGAGGATCAAAAGTTCAAGGTCATTTTCATCTATATAATGAATTCAAGGCCAGCCTGGGCTACATGAAAGACACTATAGTAAAATTTTGTTTTGGCTCTGAGATTCAAGTATCATCTATAAAAAATAGAGAAATAATGGAAACTTACTCTTTTGTGTGTAATAGTTGCTCAATCCATTTTATCCTCAGCTATCACACACTTGTAGGCATGTACTCTTTGGACACACGTCTCTCTCTAATGGGCCAGGTTCTCTTTTAGGGGGAGGTAGTAATTCTAGCATTAATAAGATAGGTTCCTTTTTCTCCCCAAGGAATTTATGTTCTAAGACAAGAAAGATAAGAAGACAAGAAAATCTGACCAAAATATGCATATAGTGAGTAAGCAAAACATTATGAAAGCAGGTATCACGCTAGTCTACTTAAAGGAGAAAATAGTCCACTCTATAGAGGAGTTCTCAGAGAAGGCGTCACAGAGAAACCCGAGCAGAATAATAAAATATAGGGCTGGGCACGTGGCTAGGTGATAGAGTGTTTGCCTGTATACATGAGGTCCAGGGTTCAATCCCCAGCACTACAAAAATAAATAGATAGGTAGACAGACAGACAAGAGTTAGCTATTCTTATGAGATGGAGAGAAAATCGACAGAGCAGAATTAGCATGAGCATGGGCACAGTAGCATAAGCCATCTGAGGAAAGCAGATTTAGACTCCTCAAAAAGAGCCCAAGCTGGAAGAAAGAAAACAAAACCCAATCTTATCTATGGGAAGAGTGGCATAAATAGTTTAAAAAAGGGCTGAGAAGAAATAATGCTCCTAAATGGAAGCCCTGGAGCTAGAGTTACAGATGGTTATGAACTGCAGTGTGGGTGCTGGGAACTGAACCTGGGTCCTCTGCAAGAGCAGCAAGTGCTCTTAACAACGAAATCATTTCTCCGGCCCCCTGGATCCTAAGTTTTATGTAAGAGTGTATGAAATGGTTAACTGAGCTGGGGCAGTAGCTTGCTGGTAATGTGCTTATCCTGAATGTGCAAGATGCTGAGTTTGATCTTAAGCATTTTCAAAAGAAGGGTGGGGGGATAAAGCACACAAAAATGAAGTGGATAATTGAAGCACAAAAAAAGTACACATTCTTTTTGTTTTTTGAGTCATGGTCTCACATAGCCCAGAACAGCCCCAAACTTGCTAGCCAAAGATGACCTTAAACTTCTGATCCTCTTGCTTCCATTCCTAAGTGCTGGGATAATAAGTGCACAGTATCATGCCTCAGTTATGTACTATAGCAGTCCATGCTCTGCTGCACCTCTCTTACCAAGTGAAGAATATGTGCTTTTGAGCTAGAATGGTGGCTCATGCCTGTAATACAAATACTTTGGAAGCTGAGGCAGAAGGCTCACTGAGAGTTCAAAGCCAGCCTGGGCTACCCAGTGAGCTACAGAGCACACTGGGTTGCAGAAACAGGCTGAGACCCTGTCTCAAAAAACAAAAAAACAAAACAGAGCTGGGAAAGTAGCTCAGTTGGTAGAGTGACAAGTGGAACTAGCTATATAGACCAGTCTGGCCTTGATCACCTGCCTCTGCCTCCCCAGTGCTGGAATTAAAGGCATGTACCACACCTGGCTAAAAGAGATTTATAGCTCTGCCTTTACCTAGGCTTGAGATTTTATTCTTTATGATAATGTCTTTGAATTTTACTTGCTTCAATTCTAAATGAAGGATGATACTAGTTAGTCACTAAGGTCTACTGTAGTTCCAAAATCACAGCATTCCCTTCATACTGTTAGAAAAAAAAGTCTCTGATAAATATTAATTTGTAGAAAATATTACGGGCATAAGAATTTTTCATTTACTTTAAAAAACGTTATTTACTTTTATGTATGTGAATGTTTGCATGAATGTATATGTACCATATGTGGGGGGGGGGCATGGAGGCCAGAAGAGGGTGTCAAATCCCCTGGGACTGGAGTTATAGTCTAAACTGCCAAGTGGGTGCTGGGAACCTAATCCAGGTCCTCTGCAAGAGCACCAAGTACTCTTAACCACTGAGCCATCTATCTCTTCAGCTCAGGCACAAGAATTTTGAAAAACATTAACATATATTGCTTATATAAAATTAGGTTTAATTGTGACATTTTGATATATATATATATATATATATATATATAACAGACTTTGATCTTATTTATTATTGCTCCCCTAAGAATTTGAATGGAAACAGCCAATGCTAGGGAAGTACTTGGTACAATGCCTAGTGACAACTCAGCAAAACCACCCATTTAGGACTCAGCTCAATTTCCCAAGCATGATTTAGCAACATGCTGAACCATGATTTTTGGCAAAAAGTCAACTATGAGTCAGCAAAGAATTAACTATGACTCATCAAAAAGCCAAACAAAGCTTGGAGTGGTGGCTTTTGCCTTTAATCCTAGCATTCTGAGGCAGAGGCAGGTGGATCTCTGTGAGTTCAAGGCCAGCCTGGTCTGCATAGTGAGCTCCAGGCCAGCTGAGGCTATATAGGGAGACCCTATTTCAAAAAAGCTAAAAAGAAAAAAAAAAGCTGAACAAGTACTCGGCCATAAGCCAATCTTGTTTCAGTGAAAAGGCAGACTATGAGTCAGCAAAAGTCAAACAATGACTATGAGCCAGCAGAAGCTAAATAACTCAACAAAAGCCAAATACAATTTAGAAAAACTGACAAACTATGACTCAGCAGCTAATCATGGCTGCACAGTGCCAAACCATGACTCAGCAAAAACCAACCAAACATGACTCAGCAAAACCTCAGCCATGATTCAGCAAAAACTCCCTATCACAACTCAGCAAAAATGTTAGCTATGAGGCCCTGAACCATGCTAAACCATGACATAGCAAAAAAGCCAAACTATGAGTCAGTACAATACCCAGTGATGACTCTATGATGCTTTCTTTTCAGGGAAAAAGCAGGAACAACTAAGCCAACTTTGCTCGTCAGTAGAGGCAGTTAATTGAAAACTTGCACAAGATCACAGGACCTATGGGAGAACAATGCCTTTCTCCCATTTTATTATGAACAATTCAAATACACAGCAAAGTTAGAACTTTGTTGGGGAATGGCTATATACGCTGATCTATGTAGCTGAACCATGCAGCTCTGTCTTCCTGAAGCCAAAATTCAGAGCTGATTATCTGTAACAAAAGTTTTAAAAAGTTTTGATTGCCTTTGTTCCGCTTAAGATCTCTATTTCAAACCTGTAGGCAACTTTAGGGTTCCTGATAGTCTGACTCTTGAGGTTTACTAGCTGACTCAGTCTACACACAACTGCTAAGCTGAGGACACATGACCAGTGTGATTCCTGGAGGAAACAAGCTCTTGTCTGAGAACAACAGCTGAAGCAAAATCCCATAAGCCAGGAAAACAGCCACACAATCAGAGTAACAGGTGGTTGGTTTCAAAACAGATTTCAAGGTCTGATTGGTCGGCACCTGCTCTGTAGCTACAGATGGCAGTGTCACTCTGTCTGGGTCCACCTTAGGTCACCCTTGCCACACTGTAAGGAAGATTAACTGCTTCTCATAGCAAGCTAAGTCATGCTGACTTAGATGATTGTGCTTTGTGGTGGTCACTCTTGGGTTCCCTGTCACAGAAGAAGAGAGAATGAGAGAATTCTCGGACCAGAAGGGACCTTGGTACTTAACTAGTTCACCCCCGCCCCCACTTAATAGCTGAGCAAGGCTAAATCGAGGCAAGCTAAGTAAAAACTCACTTAAGATCACAGTACATACAGAAATTGAACACTTCTCCCTGATTTCACTGTGAAAACAAATTCAAACACACAGCACAGTTAGAACTTTGGCAGAAACTGCCCCATACCCAACTCTTGAATTTTGCTGTGAACATATTATTAAATTTATCTATCTATGTCTGTCTGTCTCCATCCATCCATCTTTCCCTATATC